AAGCCACCCCCACGCAGCAGTGAGTGGCCAACTGTTCAAAAGTGTGGCCAGCACAATGGCAAACAGATACACTTTGTCTTTTGTGTTGTGTTTAAGTGTGTGCGTCACTGTAGGCTTGTGTATATAATGTGATTGGAATGATTGGGACTTTCTTTCATATCTGTGTCTCGCTTAAATACATGTACACTTTCTTGTAATTGACTGGATCCATAACAATGTACTTCCCAGCTCCAAAAAGAAAAACTATTTAATTCTTCTTGTCATTTGATAATATAGACAATTTGCACAATGTTTCAAAATTTCTGTGTTGTAAATGTGATTTTCGGGATTATATTATTATAATACTATTATTATGATGTTAGGTTGATTATCTATGCAGAGACTGATTCTGGAAAAGATGATGAATCATTTTATACCTTCTAGTGTTTTTGCACCACCAATGAAATGACATTTATCACCACTGTTTTGGGGTGGATGAAAAAAGCTAACCTTCCAAATGTGGACAAATCAAATCAGAAATCTACAAGATTTGCTATTTTTGTCAGTTTTCTATGAACCACTTTTTGAAGCTTCAAGTTCTTGAATACTGGATGTTGCAAACTTTCAAGTTATCTGTTTAAAAAACAGAAACCCAGTGTAGAAATGATTTTTTATTCTCCTACCTTTACTTACTTTTTAGTGTATTTCTTTCTTTTCACAAATTGACCTAGTCTTACTGCAAGTGGCGAATATTTCTCCTTAGGTGGTGACAGTTTTCAGGACACCATCATCATTTGGGTCCTTGCAACCTGAAGGCCGACATCTGGACCGGGACCCTGCACCTCCTGATGACGGTCTGCTCGGCAACCGGTTCTGCTCTTTCCCCTTTCACTCTCTCCCCCTCTGGCCCTGTGTTTCCTCCCTTGGTGTCCCCCCTCGGGGTAATTGTGGGGTAATTTATGAAGTTCTAGCAGCATGGAGTAGGTCGGTGTATGGGACAGCCTGCTGACCGAGCCCCATTCAGCTCCAGAGGAGAGGGCCTGGACTCCTTTTATCCTCACCATAATCAGCGTCTCTCCCTGGGCCTGGATGCCCCTCCTGACTCCCCTCGCCCTGCAGCGCTCCTCAGCATGCGATCCACAGTGGATACTTAAAGATGAGGGGGAAAGTTATTGGACTCTTTAGTGACTCATAAACATCCTAGAGGATTTTCATAGCACCTTTGTGCCTTTTTGTTCCGGCCGAGATAATGCAATTGTTTCAGGCGGAGTAAATGAATAAATCACCGAGCGGTTTGTCCCGGTGGTGTGAGATAACAAAGGGCAGCACTCCCAGTTCTCAGAAACACTTGTCAGTCCCGTTCAGGCACTTTGTGGAACAATTTTATATCTCTCCTCACAGACATTGGTCTTCAGAGGGAAACATTTAGATCTATAGATGAAGCAAAACCAAGCCAGTCCCACATATCAGCGTCTGCTGCAATGATTTTGATCTCAGACTCTTGATATCAGAATGACATTGATATAATGGTGGTAAACAAAAGCTGCTGAGCGTCCTCTACTCTCAGCCACATGCCCAGATTAAAGCTCAGTGTGTGTGTGTGTACCGAAGATCTAGCCAGTGATCCTGTTAAAGAATGACCAGCGGAGAGTGAAGGAAGCCTTACAGTACACACAGCGGAGGTTTGCTCTTCAGCTCAGCGCTTTATTGAGCCATGATAAGCCCTAATCTGGCCTGATCCTCTGTCACTACAAGCATATGCCTGTGATAATGCCCTCATTTTCTGGTCACCTGAGCACTTTCATCGGAGTGCACCCCGTGAGGCGATAGAAAAGGGGCTCCCTATAGCCTAAAAACAAGTCTGTCAAGGAGCCCTTGAATTGGATGAAGGCCCCTGAAAGGTGCCGTCCAGAGAAGAAAGTCAAACACTCACTGATGCCGGGTTAAAAACTGAAGGATTATGTGGAAACATGGAGGGTGGCTACGCTTTCATTTGTAAAACGCAAAGCTCAGAGACCCTTGTGTCTCCCTGTGTGGCCCGTTGCCTCTGCAAACACATGAATGAGAATACATACGAATGAGCAAGAGAATGGGATTTATCTGGCTCATGCATATAATAATGGAGTAAGAGAAGGACTGATTACGCCCCTTACAATGATCCATATATGTGTTCAGAGGGTTAGGGTTCAGTTTATACTAGTACTCAACTTCTCTGTGCTGTTTCTTCTCATCTAATTCAGTATCATTTGTTTTGCATGAGTTGCAATCTCACTAATCAAGCTTCATGTACAGTTAATAAGAAGCCTTGTTTTTCTCAAAGTACATATCATTTATTAATAGCATTACAGAAACTTTATTGATCGTTTTTTTCTCTTTGGATTATATCAAACACAATGAAAGGTGTGGCACGGAACCAGCCATTAAAAGGTCTGAAAGATGGGAAAAAGGGATAAAATTTTGGACCATTGTGTCCAAAACAGTTAATTAGGACCTGACCCAATTAACAGAAAAGAGTCCAGCAGCCATGTTGGCTCCGGGCCTAACGATGGGAAAATCCATATGCTCCAAATAAATGGCCCGTGTTGGCTCCCAAGGTTTCCCAATTATAATATCACTGAATGTTGGCTAAGCCGAAGCACCCTGCAGGGCCCCCTGATGGTGCTGTGGTGGGGGGTCCTGAGGGCCCTCTTGATTCCCACTTCTAACTTTTTGTAGGTTCGTTTGTGTCGGTCCTCACAAGGAAGCACACAGCAAGCTACAGACCTTTGTGAGCTTCAGTGCAACTCCATCAAAAATAAAACAATATCCATCTATATCTATATAAATATATGTTTAAGCAACCTTAAAACATGGTGGTTCAACCATCAACATACAAGAAAAACACAAATGAGAGGAGTGAATTCATAGTGAACACGTGTCATTTGCATACATACATGTCGATGTGGAAAAGGATATGTAGGTGAAAAGATCTCAAAAAAGTAAAACTCAGCACTAGAACTGCAATTAAGTCATTTATGTAAGATGATTAAATTAAATGGTTACATTAGAGAGTTTGATGCAGTGTGTTTCTCAAAGAGCAGAACTATGTGGAGATTGCCTGGAAGGCACATTTCAAAATCAGGCATATTTAGTAAAAGTTTTCTGCTTGGATTTGTACTAGCTCTTGTTGAACGGATAATTGCACTCACTATAAATTATCAAGAAAGGATTTTTTTTCATTTTTTAATAAGCTGCTATAACAAAGGAACTGGAAAAAAATAAAACCAGACACTCAGACAAAGAAATGCAGCCTGAGCCGCAAAATTACTCATGGATATCAGTCCCCTGAAAATGGAAGATGTTTTTTATCAAGATGCACTAATAAATCTTTGGTAGATAATTTTTATGGGTTCTTTATTGGCCCATTTCTCATATTTCCAATGAGTTTTCTGAAAATCTGTTCAATAGTTTCTGTGTTAACATGGCAACAAACAAACCAACCAACAAACAGGCTGACAGGGGCAAAAACAATAAATTCCTTGGTGGAGTAATAAAGCATGATGCACAGGAGAAAAGTTGTGTGAATGTCAACATCTAAAATATACAAAAACATATAAATCTCAAGTCAGTGGTCCATCTTAATTTACTTAAATGACTATTTCTGCAACAATCCTGAAGTTGCACAGACGCCCACGGCTGGAGGAGAACGTCTTGTAGAGTTGGGTAAATATAAACCAGGGTGTCCTACTGAGCACAAGATGAGAAAAGCAAACAGTTTCTCAGCAGAGCTGAGTGATGTTGAAACATGACACCTTCCAGCCATGACATCTCTTTAAATGTTTCCTCCATCTGAACTCAATAAAATCTTGTATGTGCAATTATTGTACTCCAGGCAAGAATCAATGCTGCATCCAAGGTTCACAACATAAAAACAGTGCTTTTGTGAATCTCTTTTGCAACCCGGAATGGTGGAAAACATGAGAAGAGCATTGTTATAGTTTGAAACCTCTGGCCCTGTAGCACTGCCTCACTGGAGGCTTTGCTTGGCAGAGATGAGGCAGGAAATTCCTGAGCCAAGCAGATTCCAGCCTCCGAACGCTACAGAGGAAGAGATGCTGGGAAGTCAGCTTGATCCAGCCACAAAACCAGCTCTGTAAATTACACGCGGGACATCGAGCCTGGTTAGAATTAACATGTCACAAATGGAAATGTCTTTAATAGAGATTCTTTAAAGTTTATGCTGTATTCCTGACAGCTCTGTTTCATTTCAACAGAAAGAATATGTGAAAAAGGAAACCTGAGAAAGTGCTAGTAGCTTTTACGGTTGAATTAAAGGAAGACAATGCCATGCCCACTCTTTAGTATCTTTTTAACTACCTCCTCCCTGACTGGAGGACCCCCTTCCAGTGATAGTGATGTGATTTCACAGAGTGTTTGGGGAGCCGAGTCAAATTTATTTGACCCCCTTTTGTTTCGAGCTCCTGGTTGAATTGTACCTAGTCTGCCATTAACGCCGCTCTTTACATGTTGAAGAACCTCATATGGTGCTTCATACCTTTCCCCAAAGTGTCTCATGGATACCATATGTAAATAAGCCCTGGAAGGCATCATATATCTGGTGTTATGGAGCAGGGCTGTAAAAAAAACTGCCTCACTCAGGGGGGTCACACTCACATTCACTCACTTTAACTTCACTTTGAATATCGTGTGTTTTTATCTTTTATCCAATTTCTTAGCATCAAAAATGTTCTGTTTTTAAAGAAAAGTTAGATGAAAGTTCTGGTGAACTCCTGGGGGGTGCAGGTTAACCCGTGGTTTTTTGTTAATGTTTAGGGGTTTCATCTGGGTTGGGGGGAATTAATCGTGGGTGTGGGAAGGTGAAGTGGGGGCTGCAGGAGGGAGGTGTAAGAAGGGGGTGAAAGTGTGTCCCTTCTGCAATTGGCTGTGGCTCTAAGTGTCTCATTATGCGACTTATTGTTCCTTTGTTGTGCCAGCGGTATAAATACACCCCAGTTGGCCCAGAGGGTGACAGTTAAGACAGACTCACTCCTGTGGACAGACTAATCATCAGTGAGAACGGCTCACACTCACAGAAGCAAGACAGTGCCGACGCAGGGAACTGGAAAAGCTTAAAAACTCAGAACTGAGAAGCATCTGTAGAATTAAAGTCCGCAGCTAAAGCTCTCAGGTTCTTGTTTTGTATTTTTGGACAATTTTTTCCATTTCTCCTGCTCCAGCCAAGATGGATTCTGATGCTGGCTCCACCTGCAGCCGCTCCTCATCCCCTGACCTGGTGGTGGATGACTCAGCTGGGAGCTTCTTCTCCAACAAGATGTTCCAGACGTACTGCCAAGACGGCAGAGCAGACAACGAGGCCAGCCAGGGGAGGATGGAGCGCTGCGGTGGCGGCGGTAAGATCAGGTCTGAGGTCAACAAGGAGGTGGTGCAGGACCTGAGGCTGAAAGTCAACAGCCGGGAGAGGAAGAGGATGCACGATCTCAACCAGGCGATGGACGGCCTGAGAGAGGTCATGCCCTACGCCCACGGCCCCTCAGTGCGCAAGCTGTCGAAAATCTCCACCTTGCTCCTGGCCCGCAACTACATCCTCATGCTGTCGAGCTCTTTGGAGGAGATGAAGAAGCTGGTGGGGGATGTTTATGGAGGCAGTGCTGCTGTCCAGAGCCGCTCCGCAGGCCACCCCGCCATTACCCCTTCAGCTCCCACAGCCCACCACCCTCTCCATCCTCTGGCACATTCCCTGCACTCCCTGGTGGGTGGCACTCCATCCACGCTCCAGCACCATCACTCGTCTTCTCCGTCTTCGGCCCCAGCCCCACACTCCACCCACACTGCCAGCTTCCTGGGCTTTCATGCTCCAGTCCAGGGCCTGCTGAAGGACCCCCTGCACCTGACCAGCTCCTACAGGCACTTCCCCGGCATGCCCTGCCCCTGCTCCCTCTGCCAGCCTCTGCCCACAACTACCTCCACATTGCACAGCCTGTCTATGAACAAGTGAGGGGGGGCTCTCTCAAAACTGACCTGTGATGTTTGGATCAACACCAAACAACTCACAGAAGATTGTTTAAAAGAACTGATAAAATAATGGCTGGTGCCACAACTTGTACATAATGTATATATATACCTTCATACCATGTAAACTGCTGCTATTTTTTACCATGTATCTCTTCAGTATTGTTTATACAGAAATATTCTAAATGCACAATGGATTTTATCAGAGGAGCAAAGACTGTAATTTATCTGATATGTGGGGATGTGAAAGAAAATGTCAGAAGTGAACTGGTGTGTCCTATGGTGCAGGATTTCTATTTTCCTAAATTAAATTCTTTTTAAAAAATAATAACTCATGTTTGCCTTCTTCTTTGCATGAATACATTTTAGCAATCGTATAAACATTTTCTGGCTGATTATTCTGTCATTGGTGGTTTGTGTCATATTTCTCTGAACAATTTCTCTCAGGTACCATTTCTTATTTCAAGGCAGTTGTTTATTTCAGTTTTACTCACAACTACACATCAGCTTGGGTGAGAATAGCACAGCAGCATCTTCTTAACTCAACAGAAGGGCTTTTATTGCTGCTGGGTAAGACAAAAAATGATGATTAGGAGAGGGTGTCATTGGTTGCTAACCAGCCTTGGACAGACCAACCTTGAGAGATAAAAAAGGGACAGAAGGGGAGACAATACGCCATCACAGAGGCTTGAATGTGGCTCTCTTAAGCAGAGGGACCATCCATCTTCACCTCAACAGGGTGTAGGAGATGAAAGGGCGACACAGGCGCCAGGAAGGCCCGTCACTTTTGTCTGACGCAGACATAGCCATGTTCTTAGCTCTACGCCAGAGATTTGTCACTGTCTCATAAGAACGTGGATCGAGGTGCACAAAAGGCCAATTTAACACAATGCAGTCAGTCCAACACTAGCTCCTCTAAAACCATACAGAAGTCCCTTTTCCTTATTAATGGATATTTTTATACTTTGTAGTGGTAACACACATTTTCAGTCAAACTTTGTTCTATAAATATATTGAAAAATCTAGTTCTTGCTTAGTGGTAACAACGATTACTCAACTAAACCACAAGCATAACTATTATACACACTGATTGCCATGAACATGATTTAGTCAAACAACCCAACAATGGCCGGCCTTCACTTAGCAACAAATCAAGCGTGTAAAATACATGCTTATCCTCCCACGGCTGACAGATGAGCTGGAGATCAGGGGGAGAAATGAAGAGATGTAACACTCATTCTCACCCACCTCCCTCCTCCTCCCTTTCCTAAGAGCCCTGAATGGGTCTGAACAATGGCCATGCGTGGGACACAAAGGCCGGGGGAGTCCAAGCTCTCGTGCCTGGGACACAGACCCCTTCCATTCAATCTACATTTCATCATGGTAACAAGCGCTGTCGGGCCAAAAGGCCTGACACCCTCGCTCACCACAAAGGCGGTTAGCTCTAATATATGAGGCTATTGACACTGTAAAGAGCCCCTGTCAGTGCTGGGGGATTGTCAGCTGTGGGATGTCTCAGTGGGGGGAGGCAGCTGCCAGCCAAACCAAGCGGCGGAGCTTCTGTCGTGGGGACCGGCGTTGCAGCGTCACCTGGTCCCTGGTCCCCTGACACAGAGACCTCGGGGTCCTCCCACAAGCCCCCCCTTCACTGGGGCACAGGTGGGAATGGGAAGCAGAACACATTGTGGAGATTAGCGGGGATCGGCCTCCCTTTGGTCGAGGTAGATAATTAGTGACACTGACTTGTGCAAAGCTGGTGTTTCCTGATCGGCACCAGATGGTGTTAACCCACGGTACGGAATCGGCAGTCTTGAGTGTGTGTGTGTGGGTGGGTGTGATGAGTGTGTTGTGTAATGGATATGCTTCTTAAATCATACAATATGGGCAGGTCCTCTGTGTGCCATTATGGTCAGCCGCCGCTGTCATCACGGCGCTCTTTAGCAGACGCTAACCAGCAGTGGCAGCACTGGTTTAAGTCACAATGTTGTGCACAATTAACTCCGAAGATTGAACACAATGACACAGAGAAGGGTCATTTCAGCAGGGCTGAGGGATGTATTCAGATTCTAAATAAAACTGGTAATACTGTGATGTTTAAATACTCAAGTCAAAGTAAAAGTCCTGCATTTAACTTTTTTACTTCCAGTAAAGGAACTTGTTTTGCCCCACACCCCTTTTCAGAGTCATATATTAATAACAGGATTATTATCATTAATGTGTAATTATCATGTGTGTTTGCTGATCGTGATGCCAGTTTTAAACACTTTTTTAATAGTTGGGCAGTTTAATATACAAAACCTAAATGTTATAAAGACATTTCTGTTGATAACTGAGTCCTTAAAATTAGAGATGTTCTACTAGAGATGCTTCAAATGCTGCTGGAAGTATAAGCAAGCCCACGAAGATTTATATATCAAACCAATACCATGTCTTTAATGTATATTAAGATGCTTTCAGACACAAATGTCTGACTGAGTAGCTCCAGACTTTATCCAGATATTTTTGTGTTGTAAATGTGTCTGACCAGAGAATCTCCTGCTTCATTGTAAATATGTAAAGACAAACTCTGGAGAAAGTCCAGTCCCAATAATAAGAAAATTCTCCACAGTTTATGTCTGTAAACGTTTAGGTTAATTATAAAACACAAATCTTCATTTAAGCTCATGGTCCCAACCCTGGACTGGACACTATAGTCTTCAACAACACAAAGAATGGAATGATGTTAACATACATTCCCTCTTTGTGCATCAAATGCACACACTATCACAGCATGTGGACAGATGGATAAGTTAACTGCTTCAGATACTGATCAATAGACGATTACTTGTCCCAACTCGGCTCAGTGCAGCCTGCATTGACAGAGTTAATTAGGGGACTGAAAGATCCAATTAAAGGGATTGAGGGTCCGGACAGAGGAGACATATTGCAGGACGCTCGCACACATTGTGCAGCGTCTGGATGAAGAGGGGACTTCAATTAAGAGAGAACACTTCTAGAGGCTTGTTGCCTGTTCTTTTCTTTTTTACATTTTGTGCTCAGTGAAGCCCACAGCCTCCTTTTTCACCCAGAATACTGATGAGGGGAAAGCACAGCTGCTCATATGCAATAAGCTCACACGGGCGTGCACAGATGTACAGAGACTGATGAGGAGATTCAGGCTGGAATTACTAAACACTGATTAGCCGGCATAATGGCTCAAGAAGGAGAGGTTTGGGCTGGATACATTAGTTTGGTTTGTTATACAGTTTATTGGTTAAATGACTGTTAATGGAAAGATAACAGCTTGCATATGCATAAATCACTCACTCCCCCATGAAGATATTATATTTCACTTTCTCCTTTTTTGATGTGTAGCCGGAAGTGCTGAAATCTTTAAATGCCCAACTTAAAATCTCTTCAGCCTGATTTTTGATTTAAAAAAACATTTATAAACATTATTTTATTGCATCTTTTAAACCTGTGTTAATATTATTCGTAAGCTTGTATGTGTTCATCCCCTTTTTTTTAGAAATATTGAGAAAATGAAAAGGAACATCACTTAAATTTCAATTATGGAATTCATAAATTCAACTTTTATTGACTTTTAATTTTTTTTTATCCTAAAGAGGTGTCAAACAACTTTCCCCTCATTCTTGTTCCTGGTGACCCCCACTGTGTGTATGTCAAGTTTCAAGAGTAGACATTTTTTGAAACTACAGGGAAAGTCAATTTGTTTAATTTTAACATACTTTTTTTAAATCTTCAAGAGCGGACCCTCACTGTCTACATGTCAAGTTTAAAGTAATTTTACTGTAGAAATTCAGAGAAAAATAAATGGAAAGTCAGCTAATTTTCATTTTAGCATCTACATCTTGCTCTTATTAAATAATATAAAAAACAATATGCACCTCAATATTGTCCAGGATGACCCACACAGTGTGTAAATCAAATTTCAAGTGATGTCACAGAAGACATTTTGAGAAAAAACATAATATAGAGATCTGATTCCATAAAACTTTCAGTGTTTGTTTCCCTTTTTTCTCTCCCACCACACATCAGACAAGCTACTTCTGTTGATAGTTCTAAGAAACAACTCAAGACCTATTTCTATGATCTTGCTTTTAATTATTTTTTTTAACACCACCGTTTTTATTTCTTTTACTTCTTTTCATACCTTTTGCTAGTTTATGTTTTTATCCTAAGTCCTTGTTTTATTGCAAACGTGTTCTTATAGATCCATCTTATTTCACGTCTTTGCTATTATTGAAAAGCATTGTGATTGTTATTATTACTATTATTAAACCAGAGGAGGAGTCGCTCGTCACGTGCGTGTGTTTTCACAGCCACAGTGAGTGGGGTAAATACTGATGATGTCATCGTCTGAAGATGGCTGAAGGGTGAGAGTGAACTCGCAGTTTTTAGTTTTAGTTTTGCAAAATATTGTTATTAGCACCGCGAGAACACGTCGCGTTTCTTCTTCTGTCCTTTGACTAAACTCTCTCGGTGTAATGGTTGAGTTCGCACGTTGGACTCTTCAGGCGTCGCGATCAGTTCAGGAAGTGCATTTGTTTACCAAAACATAGCATGGCTAGCGTTAGCATAGCCTGGTTAGCTGTGTTGTGAAGCAGCTGAAATCACGCAGTAGCCACCGGTGGGCCGTACACGTGACTTTATCTTAGCATTGATCGTTCGTGTGTTCCCACCGCTGACGCAATCGCGACTTGTTTCGCCTAGTTATCGTGTGTTCCAGCGATAGCTAACATCGCTAAGTCGTGTAGCATGCTACGCTGCGTGTGTGTAAGTTAGCGAAAGATAGCATGAGAAAGTCTACAGCTGACAGCCAGTGAGTGCCAGGCGTCGCCCCATCGACGGGACATGTTGTACTTGTTAATTCATGAGCGTTGATCGTGTAGTTGTGTTGTGATGGTTGTGGTTTCCTCTGTCTCGGTGCTTTCTCTGTGTGGAGAAGCTAATGTCAGACTGTGTGTGTCCACAGAGAAGGCTGGTGGGGAGGCTGGCTTCAGCAGAGCTATCAGGCCGTCAAAGACAAGGTAATCCTCATACACATCGTGCACATTAGCACTTCTTATATTACTTAATAGTTTGTCAGCTCAGAGGATTGTTCCATCAGCCCAAACTACTACTCTTCAACTCACATATGTTGAACTGAAAAATATTGGATTATAGAAAAAAAAACAACTCAGTAACTATTCAGCTGTCACAGAAAAGGCTTTGAAACCCAGTGAGTGCTCAGCAGCAGCCTACAGAAATGTCTGTGAGGCTCCGTCATCAATAAATACTGGCAGCGCTGCAGAGCTCCAGTTAGAATTAGCACACAGACTTGTTCAGACCTGGTAGTAAAATGCATCCTGAATTAGTATCCTGTGACCACTTGTTATCAGATCTCACTTCCTCGCACTATATGCAAATAAACATGTACGTCATTTGTGCTTGTGAAGGCCAAAATATGTAAGTTTACAGATCTGTCAGACGACAATCTGTCTCTGTGTCGCTATGTGTCGGTGGAAGCAAGAGATCGAGCAAGAGCTCGAGCAGTGTGATGAAACGACAATCCAGATAATCTACAATGCATAACAGTTGCTGTGCTCCCTAAACTTCAACTTGAATTTTATCTTGAACTGTTTCTGGATTGCATTTAAGTGACTTGAGAATTTCTCAATGGAAATAATAGTAAGTTGAATCTGGATTTTGATCTTGAGCTCTGTTCTTCATAGTCTTCTGAAGCCTTAGAATTCCTGAAGCGAGACCTGACAGAGTTCTCCACTGTGGTGCAGCATGACACCGCCTGCTCAATTGCAGCTACAGCCTCTGCTGTCAGAAACAAACTTGCAGTAAGTTCTCCTGGGTTTCTGTTTTCTCCTGACAATGTATTTGTGTCACTATCACACGCACAGACAGTTACCCTGTATATTTCTGCTACTTCCCAGGTGGAAGGCTCCTCGGAAACCACAGAAAAGGTGAAGAAGAGCCTCTCTAGTTTCTTGGGAGTCATTTCTGACACACTCGCTCCACCCCCTGATAAAACCATCGACTGTGATGTCATCACTTTGGTGGCAACACCAGCAGGAACCACAGAGGTTTACGACAGTTCCAAGGTTAGCTGAAATACGGACTTCAGAGACTGACAGAACCACTCAATGATTATTTTCTAAATGATCATAAACAGAGCTGAGTACTGTTGTTGTGCCTGAGCCACATTAATGTGTTGATGTCTTTGTATAATAGATGAAACAATGTGTTGATTCAGAACTGATGTAGCTTTGTAACAAGACTGTAGGACAGGAAAGTCAGCACATGATGTGCTTGTAGTAAAAAACATAGCTAAGCATGTGTTTTCCCTTCAGGCACGTCTCTACAGTTTGCAAGCCGACCCTGCTACATACTGCAACGAGCCTGATGGTAAGACCTCACACAGACAAGTACTTGGTGGGGGCTGACTCTGTGTATTCTATCTATATTTCCATCTATTTTTTATTCTTCCTTCTTCTGCTATGGCGCATGTCTTGGCTGCCTTTTTCATTTTTGTTCATCTCTTTTTAAGAGCATCAACTCAGTTTTAATAACCAAATTAATTGTTAGCCACGGTATTTGCTGGATTTGTGCTGTGTCTCACTATTTAAAGGTCCAGTGTGTAAGATTTAGGTGAAAGGGATCTATTGGCAGAAATTCAATGTAGAATAATCCTCATGATGTTTTCACTAGTTCTTTTCATCTAAATTGTCTGAATTGTAGTTTTCTTTACCCCAGAAAAAGCCATTTCTATTTAAATACTTTATATTGACATTGAGGCCTCTTTAGCCTCTCTACGGAGGCCGCCATGTTTTGAATAGTACTCCAGACTGGACAAACTAAACACCTTTTAAGTTTTTATGACGACTGAAGCTTCCCAGGTTCTTTTCATGTTTGGAAAGGACGGGTGAGGTGACGGGTGTTCAGCTGCAACATGCAATTTCAACACTAGATATCACTAAATTCTACACACTGAACCTTTAATTCAGCAAAATATATGCTATTGATGTTTGCATGTAATACATGGTAATTATGAGATGAGTGTAGAGACCAGTGGAATTATGCACAATTATTCATTAACACAGTGTCTGTGTGTTTCTAGTGTATTTTAATCAAAAGTTTCTTTTGTCCAGGGCCAGCAGAGCAGTTTGACAACTGGCTGTCCAGCTTCAGTTTGGAGGATAAGAAAGGAGAAATCTCCGAGCTTTTGGTCAACAGTCCCTCTATACGAGCCCTTTACACCAAAATGGTAAATATTGTTGCATTTGTCAACACTTGTTATTACTGAGATTGTTGTTTTAAATCAATAAACCAGATAAACACTTTTTTTTTTTCTGCAGGTGCCAGCAGCTGTATCCCATTCTGAATTTTGGCAGAGGTATTTCTACAAAGTCTTCCAGTTGGACCAGGTAATCTCAACTGTTCTCTATCCTCTCCATTTTCAGGTTTCCTTTCCCCTCAACTACATTCTCTGAATCTTTGGTGCCACCCGCTGACCAATTGTAGAGCTGCTTTTGATTTGTAATTTGAAGGCACAGTCATGATGCAGGACCTTTCCTAAATAGGGAAACCTTAACTGTAACCTGCTGAATTTTGATAAGTTTAGTAGGACATTTTTTTAATTGATGTTAGTGGCTCCGTCTGTCGACTGATCAATTATAACATGTAAATCAAAAAACGTTTACATACATTTGAGTCTTTACAAGCAACCAAAGCAGATATTGATCCTTCAGTCTGTCTCTGTGAAGATGAGTGCATCAGCTTGTGGATTTTGACACCATGTCAAAGAGATGAAACAACAGAATTTTAGCTGGCCTTTTAATTGTAAGGGAAGATAATATAACACTCATTCATTACATTACAAAGTTAGAGTTAAGTTAACTAGAATTATGTGGTAGACAAACTTACCTTTTCGGATTATTGCAAAAATCTCTGCGATTGTGTCTTCCAGGAGGAGGCGAGGAGAGTAGCACTGAAGCAGAGAGCAGAACAGACAACACATTCAGAGACCCTGGGCTGGGAGGAGGAAGAGGAGGGTATGTTGTCTCAGTTATATATTAACAATTAACTCATTAACTTTAAATGCATTTATTCATGTCGTCTATCTGATATTTTCTCTTTTACTCAGACGACTTCCTCGGCGCCTCATCATCATCATCATCCCAACTCAACTTCCCACCGCTGTTGGACAACACTTTAACCCAGCTGCCCACGACCCAGACACTTCCCACTGGAACGTCTCTGCTGAGTCCCGTCCTGTCTCCAAGTGAAGAGCGTGACGCCACCCTCTCAATCAGCAGCGACAGCGTGAGCCTTCCAACACAGGTGGAGGTGCGGCCAGAGCCTGTCGCCATAGAGCTGGCCAACAAACTGACAGAAGCTAGCTTGGAAGATGTCGCAGACAAGAAACAGGAAAATCAGAAGCCTGCAAAGAGTGACTTACCTCCCGAGCCTCAGGTGGAGGCTGTATCCCAGCCAGAGGTTACTGTTGATGGTGCGCCGTCGAGGACCCCTGCTTCTAAACCAGAGCCAACAAAAGAAGAAGGACCGCAGGACTTGAGAGTGTTTGAGCTCAACTCTGACAGTGGGAAGTCGACGCCCTCTAACAACGGCAAGAAAGGTACATTAACCGGAGGGCTTTATTTTCTGCTGGCAGTGAGATTCTACCTGTTCTGGTTTGGGACGTTAACTCTAAACTGGATTATGTTTAGTGATATGATTGTAGGCTTAGAAAAAGCAGGAGTGTGAATGTCACAGAAAGTCATGAGTTTGTGTCTTCCCCCCAGGGTCCAGCACCGACGTGAGTGAGGACTGGGAGAAAGACTTTGACCTGGACATGACAGAGGAAGAAGTCCAACTGGCACTCTCCAAAATAGAAGACTCTGGAGAGGTGAGTGGAAATTAGTGCGTTGAAGGTTAAAGTTATGGCTTGTCAATTGTTTCTGAAGCACATTCATTTGCGGAAATTCTCTTCACGTCCCGATCAAATATATTTGAGCAAATTTCATGTCGTGACAAATTCGTTTAAACATGGTGCGATGTATCAGATGCATATTTGAAAGTGTAGCCTGCCCTCACTAGCTTTTCCAGAGTAAAAGTAAAAACCCAAACTTTGTCTGTCTTTTGCCAGCTGGAGGAAGAGTGGGAGAACTGGAACTGAGAGCCACCGCGACACGAACTCTGTCCCGCCATCAAAGCTAGTTCCCGGCAGAAGAACCATGCTTAAACGTGTTTTAAACTCTTTGTCCACACCGTCACCATGTCATGATTGTCAGTAGGGGATTTTTTCTGGCGGGTGGTTTGGACCATATTGGTAAACCTGTTGAAGCGAGCAGCGGGACGACCAAGGCAATAAGAATTAGACCGCTCCGTCAGCTAGCGAGTGTAACGACTCAGATCTTGGCGATTACTTGGGATTAAATTCTGACTTAGAGCCTATGACGCTAGTAACTGACAAGAGGTTGTAATCATTCTGACCTTAGAGCCTAAGGAGACGCAGTGATGAGTCAGAATGTGAGATATCCACAGCAGCAGGGGAGGAGCTGTTTTCCCTTTTTTCTTTATGCCATTAAATACATCATATATGTTGCGAGTGTATCTCAAGTTGGGTAATGACTTAACTGCAGGCTGCACAATAGCCATAAACTGTAATGCTGCTTCTAACTTTTCTAAGTGATTTTTGAAATGGTGGTGATTGATTTGATTCTACCTGTGCCCAGCTTTCTTTCTTTCTCGTCTTTATTATGCAAGTGAATCTTCAAAATGGAAACAGATATTTTGGCCTTTATTCACAGAGCGCTTTTCATTTTTGGATTCACTCCCAACTCTAGATATATGGCCTTGTAAAACACACAGTAGTGTGGTGATGTTATCCAAATGATTTTTATTGTAAAGTCTGAAACACAACCAGTTAATGTTTTCATCTGTAGTTATTTTTCCCCTCTCTGTGTCATAGCGTGATTGATTTGAATATATGGGCTTGTCGCTGGCTACATGTTATTATTATTACTTTCTGTCTGTCTTATTTTGGGTAGAGGGAATTCATCAGTTGTCACACATTAAGAGAGAAAAAAAAAACACGACATGAACCTATGCTTGAGATAGAGGGTAGCATCTGTTTATTTACACAAATAGGAGAAAATGACAAATCTGTGATGTTTTACATTTCTCTGTCTGCTCATGTTAGGAACAAAATTGCTGACAAAGTTGACAGAACGAGCAACGTGAGCACGCTCCATGCTTTTATGATTTTCATTTCCATCATCTGTAATGTAGCTGAGAAAAAATGAACCCTAGAGGTGTAATATTTATACTAAAATAAAAGCTTAATTATTGTATTATGTGCTTTGGATTGCATGTCTGTGCAATAACATTATGCAGATAGTTACTGTTCAGTTGTACGTTTTTCTGGTAAAGACATCGGCTTGTTCTTCAGGATTTTGTGTTCAGACAAACGTGTTGCATGTCTGTACTTCTCAGCCGTGTATTTCCTCTACATTCACACTACGAACTAATCAAAGCTGTTCTGCACACATCGATTTCCAGAGCTGTCAAAGGTCTGATTTTTTTTTTTTTTTTT